CAGTTTGTACCTCATGGGACCCCACTCGTCCCCGCCGTGAGGACACTCACACCTACCCTCCAGCCAGACCGAGTGTGCAGCCGGCTGCACCGCTCACAACTGGACCCCAGCTCACGATCATGTAGGTATCGTGTGACAGTCATAATGTGCTCATTTACTCGTAATTACAAGATAAAATATTTAATATTTTCCCCAGATGTTTCTATAGTCATTTTAAAACTGGCCCAGCTCTAAACCTCAAATAACACATCAGAAAGTGTTTTTAGATCTTCCGTTTCTCGCTGTGCATGATGCAAGCGGCTGCTCTGAGCTGAGCCGGTGTCAGTGTGTCCTGGTTCTCTCTCTCTCTCTCCAAGTTCAGCTCGTTGACCAGCTGCCGGTTTACTAAACGCTTTCTGTTGTCTCGTCTGTCCGGGACTCGTGTACAGGAAACACCGGGAAGTTGGAGCAAGAACGTCTCTTCTCCGCCTCGCCGTCGCCGTTGACCGCACTTCCCAGCAGCTCACGGGAGGCAGTGGGCGCACAGAGAGCAGCTGCACCTGACGGCGCCCCACAGCTTCAAATACTCAGAGCGGAGCGAGAGGCACCTTGGAAAATCAGCCCCTTTCCTGTAAATACCACAGAGGTGCCTGAGTCTAGCGGGGCTTGCCGTGCATGAATTATCTACCATGTAGAGTGTAAATCAACTCATCAATTCAGCTTGGAGTCGGTGCTTCTGCTGGTGTTCATGTCACTCGTGTCCAGCAGCTCTGTGGACTCTACTATCTAGCTGGGGGCTTTCCACGCTGTGCCTCATGACCTCCCCACCCCTCTCTCCATCTGCCTCTGCTGATGAAGAGGAGCAGCACGAAATATCAAAGACACGCCCCTGACAGAAACTTCTCCGAGCAGTCAGTCAGGATCAACAGAAGACGTCAAATGCTCTACAACATTTACCAGACAGCTAACCCAAGACACCTCATCCATTCCCGACTCGCTTAAACACTGTCCCTTTCAAGAGCGAGATTTTTGCAAAATTGCAACCGTTACAGTATATTAAATGAAAGAACAACATGCTTTAAATTGCATTTAGAGCTTCCTTTTTCTAAAGAACACAGAGACACTTTTCAAAGGGAGAGTTTTAAGCCAGTGTCCCTGTGTTCTGCAGGCTATTGTACTGTTTCTGTTTTAAATATCTGCATTTCTACAGGATCGTTTTGAAGTGATCTGAGCTCAATACATCTTAAATCTCGAAAATTCCCTGTAAATACCAGAGTTCTGAATCCTTGGCGTTGAACGTACCTGTCAATAAAACTCTGAAGTAAAGTACAGAACGGAAAGTGTTAATTCCCCTGTGTTCGGTCTTCGGCAGCCGGTATTTTCAGTATTTAACTAAGACAGAGCGTGAAACCACACTAATCAATAAAACCCGCAGTCAGAACCTCCCGTGAGCACAGAACAGTCCCCCGACGTGTCACAAACACTCACGGGGAGCTGTCGGCTCAGCAGCACCCATTGGAGAAGTTACAGCCCGCAGTTTGATTTATGGTGATCAATATTCAGAACATGTTGCTGCAGTAAAGTCAAATACAGCGAACTGAAAGCCGCGCACTGAGATGATCCCATGGTTAATAAACAGGTTAATAAACGGGTTAATAAAAAATAAATACCCGAACGTTTTATTTAATACACAGAACGGGAAATTACACTGATCAATAAAATTTGGTAACTACAGAACAGTCCCCCGACATGTCACAAATACTCACGGGTCTCTGTCTGCACGGCTGCAGACATCGGAGAAGTGACAGCGCTCCGTCTGTTTGATTATGAATGTAGAGTGTGTAGCTGCAGTAAAGTCAATGACAACCCAACGAGCTGAGGGCAGCGCACTGACTGGGGCTGAGGCCGGTATCAGCGCGCAGCTCTGCACTAAACTCGCCCGCTGGTTTATCACCCATCGCGTCGGACTCGCCTGTTGAAATGAGTCTGCAGAGGCTGCAGTGAGCGATAGAGAGCTGTAAGACACGTGTGCGCTGAGATAAATCCCGTGGAGGTAATTCACTCAAAGAATTGAAGTTCAGAGAAAAACAAATCCAGTGCCAATGGAAATCTACACACCCTTTCATCATCATCATCATCATCATCATCATAATTACTATGATTGTTGTTGTTGTTATTCTTGTTAACAATAACAATTTTATAGAGCGCTTTTGACAGTGTCTTCTCAAAGCGCTTTACAGTGAGTATAAGCTGAGAGGACACCGCAGGCACTTACAGTGAGGGTGTGGAACACAGGAAGACAGCCCAGCGGCGCACAGGGCCGGTTCATATAAAGGCCCTTCTGAAGAAGAGGGCCTGGAGTCTGGATTTAACGCTGCTCGGGGCAGAGGACCCTCTGATATCCCCGGGGAGAGAGCTTCTTGCTGAGCCCTGGGGCGCAGCAGGAGAAGTCGGCGCATTTTGTGGTCTAAAAGCGTGAGAATGTACAATATCATCTTTATTTTCACCGTGTAGCACGCCCCCTCCTGGAGAAAAACCTTGATTACAAGTGAGCGAGCGCGCTGGCCTGCCGGTCAGCCCCTCTGCAGCGCGGTGGGAGAAACCGCCAGCCAGCGCCCTCTGCTGCCCAGACGGAGGAGCTGCAGTCCGGTGGCGTGAGGGCGGTGTTGAACTGTCTCTCGAGAGCAGTGGTTCTCAGCCTGCGGCACGCAACGTCCGACCCCTTTTTAATAAATTACCTTTGTGTGCAGTCGATTCCTTCAATAACAAAACAATAAAGCAGGTCCTCCGAAAGCTCAGATGAGGCCCGGGCCATTTCACATTGTGAGGCCCCCTCATTGTTTGGGAAGAGGGGTAAAGAAATATTTTAATGTGAGGAATGGCATGTAAAAACAATTGTTTAAGTCATAGAAAGCATGACAGTATAATTTTATTTACCTTTAGCTTTAGGCACCCTGGCTCAGCCAGTTTGTATATTGCAGTGCATGTAAATAATGCCACACAGAATTCCAAATTCCAAATTTTATTATGCAAATACAAAACACCCCATAATGATTACATAATTGTATGTGTATGACACCCGATACCTTGCGGAGAAAAGCGTGGGAGGATTAAGGCACTTTGAAACTCCTAAAGAAGGGCAGGTTCAGCACTGAACGCGAGAATCACAGTAGGTGGTAAAAGTTCCAGATTGGACTCAAGTCGAGAAACACAGCCAAAGGGTTGAAGTGGAGGAGCCCGCACCCTGGGCTGAGGTGAGGCCCGGGCCACATGGCCTCCTAATGAAGAATAATCTGCAGACTTCAGGGGTTTAACAGATCAGCAGTTCCAGGGTCAGCACCTGAGGTACTAATTACAAACACCTTACTCGTCTGCTGTCCCGGACTCTCTGATTTTCTTACATGTTATTGGCCTCTGTTCATTTTGAGGTCAAATTAACTCTATTTACACCACTGGGAAATCACTGGCTTATAGCGTCATGAAGCTGGTTCCCTGAGGATGGCTGTAGTCACGGCCTCTAGGACGGTGCCTGCTGCTGTCATGAGACACAGCATCACCTGGACGAGTGATCCTGCTCCAGGGACAGACATGTGTGTCCAGGCCATGACATGACCTCTGCCAGGCTACACAGAGGAGACAGGAGAGCGAAGGACTGATAAACTCAAGTGATGGATGTACTGTCTCTATGGTGAGCAGGGAATACTGGCTTTTACAGTCTGAGATGAACTCAAAGTGAATGAGCCCCAGAGCTTTTGCTCACTTGAAATCACTGAGCTGAACATACAGTACACGTGGATCATGTAGTACGTATACATAGAATTACCCAAAAACACGTGGTCTGCTTACCAGTCATATTCATGTCAGATACCAGTCATACCCATGTCAGGATGACAAACACAAATTGCTCGACTGTGAAGCAAAACCAACAGTTTTGATTTTGTTATCCCAATACATTTGGAAGATATTGTTAAGACATAAAATTAGCAATGGTGAAATAGCAGTAGTACAGCAAATAATCCATTCAAACACAAATAATGAGATAAACATTCAGAAAATATATAAAAAGTCTTCAAAGCTAATAAATTGTGACCAGTTCATAAATGTAGACATATTTAGGCAGCTCTGGCCTCCTGTGTTGAAACTCTAGAGATCTTGTCAGGAAATTACAGGAAATTAGGTCTCTGATTTCCTGTATGATTGTTTCTGATTTTCTGTTTCCTGATACTAATTGTTTTCAATCAGCATGAGGAGGATAGAGAATAGTAGCTAAAATATGATAATAAACTTTAACAACTGGCCAGTCTGAATAATGAGTTACTGTCAATGAGCTAATATTACTGTTAAGGAGTTAATGTCACCTTTTGCACCAGTTTACAATCAGAATTCCTTCAAGTCACCTGCCTGATTTGTAGAATTGTGCTCTCTAGGTTTCAGAATAATTTTAAATGACCATATGTCATCACCGTCCCAAAACAGGAACAAGGAACACATATAACATCATGTATGGTTAATTATAGAACATGGAGAAAACAAAATACCACATTTAGAATTATATTATTTTTCTTAGCAATAAAGCATCTTTTTTTCCATTCAATGTGCTGTTTTCAAAGAAACACTGTAACTGAAGCCCAGCCGGTCAGTGAGCTCAAACATCAGTAGCTATAGTGCAGGATGTCTATAGACAAGTCCTGCAGGAGTTTGGGGCCCAGATCTCTCCAGACCCTTGCCGTTATCCTGCAGGTCTGCTTCACAGGAAACCACAGGAGTGCAGTGAGCTCACAGTACAGACTTGGAGCTGCTCACATGTGCTGCTCTGAAATCTGTCCTGCACTTGAAGACAAGGCTACTGTATCACACATTTGTCCTTGTACTTTTTTTTCCAAGCATTACATTCCTCAGCTGCTCTTCTCGACTCTTCTTCATATTTTCTCATCATTTCCTCTATTTCTCTTCTGAACTCTTCTTCCTTCTGCTCTTTCCTGGCCTTTTCCTCCTGCTGCTTTCTCTGTCTCTCTTCATCCATTTGCCTTTCAAAATCTTTTCTCTGGCTCCTCAGCTCCTCTATTAACTTCCTCCTCTCTTCATACCCTCTCTCTCTCTGCTCTTCCATCCTCTCTCTCTTCTTCTCCTGCTGTTCCTGCTGCTTCCTCATCTGCTCTTGCAGACATCTCAGTTTCTCTTCAGCCTCTTGGTCCTTCTGTTCCCTCTCTCTCCTCTCCTTCTCCTCATTCTCTCTCCTCTCCTGATCCTCTCTTTCTCTCCTCCTCCTGTCTTCCTCCGTCTCTTTCAGTTTGGTCTCCCACTCCCTCCTTTGTCTTTCCTCTTCCTCCCTCCTCTTCCTGTCTTCCTCTTCTCTCTCTCTCTTTGTCTCTTTTTCTCTCCTTTCTATTTCCCCCATCTCTCTCTTTAGCCTTTCTTCTCTTTCTTTATAAAGCTGTTCTCTCAGTTTCCTCTCTTTCTCAAATCTTTCTCTCTCCTCTTCCAGCCTCTTCTTCATCTCCTCCATTGCCTCTTTGTGTTTGGCCTTCATCTCCTCCTCTCTCTCCCTCAGGATCCTCTCCTGCTCTTGTCTGATGGCAGCTTCTGCCTCCTGGAACATCTGGCTGGTGTAGAATCCTCCTCCGTTCTCTCTCACCAGGCTGTCGATCTTCTCCAGCAGCTCCCTCACCTGGGTGCGATTGCTCATTTCTTTGTTGTCGAAGACGTGGTACCTTCCTCCACATTGATGAATTAGACGCTCGATTCTGCGATCACCTTTAAAGAATTCAGTATTTTTATTCTCCAGGTCGTCCCCTCTGGTGAATATGACTATAGTGTACATTTCAGCCCTTTTGCCAAAGATCTGTTTGATCAGCTCCACTGTGTCTCTCTCCTCTTTGGTGAACCTGCCCACCTGTAACACCAGGATGAACACATGGGGTCCTGGGGCTGACAGGGAGATACACTTGGCTATTTCCTCTTCAGCTTCCTCATTAGACAGCTGTGTGTCAAACAGTCCAGGAGTATCAATCACAGCTATGGGTCTCCCATCCACCTCTCCTTTCACTTTCTGACACACATCAGTTACTGACTTGGTGCTGACTTTAGATACAAACTCCCTTCTGCCCAGGATGGTGTTCCCAGTGGCACTCTTCCCAGAGCCTGTCTTCCCAATCAGCACCATCCTCACACACTCCCGGTCTTCCTCTTTACCTGCAGTGCCTGGAACAGAGGGAAGAGTCTGTCACACAGGTGTATCCTCAGAGTTTCTGCTGGATATCTCACACGCAGATCAAGTGTGAGATACTGAGACAGTAAAAAGAGACAAAATGTTGACACAAGTATCAGCAGGAGACTTGATCTGCTCAGGTTCATCAGTCAAATATTAATATTCAACAGGGCTCTTTACAGGCCTACAGTTAAGGTTAAAAAATTACATAATCTTCTGGCAAAAATGACAATTCACCCAGCTTCTGAGAGCACACACCTCCTTGTGCTGTGGGAGGGGTGTCTGGCCAAATTGCAGAGCTACATGAACTCATAATATATCCAAAAATCTGGTGCATTTTTGGGGGTATTTAACCCTCTCAGATTCCAGGATATTATTATTGATCAGTTCAGGCTCATCAGTTGAATATTAATACTCATCTGGGCTGTTTATATATTTTTTAAGTTGAGTAATTTAATAACCTTCTAGCAAAAAGACAGCTCTGCTATCTGGCCAATTGGAGGTGTGTGGTGTTAGAAGCTGGGTCAGTTATGTGAACTCATAATGAGGATAAAGTCCAATGCACTGTGGAGAGTGCATCTTTCTCTTCACTGGAAACTGTCTCATTAGATGGGAATCAAGAGAAACAAAGTTTAATTCAAAGACCTAACCTGCAGGTACTTCTTAAAACACGAGAATTGGCAAGATGGAGCTACTGTATACTGGGATAAAAACAGGAGACTGTAACAAACGAGCCAAGGGTTCTGAGCTGAACAACTAACAGAGCAGTTCCACCCCTGCTTGGCTATTGAAGCAACAGGTAGCTGGTACCAGATGAAGACCAGAGTGACACACATTGTTACTTTGGTATAAAAACAGACTGTTTCAGAATCACCAGTGAAACATGAACCAGCGGACAGTAGTTGAACCTATTTGGAAGCACATTTAATATTTGAGAAAAGGAGGCACTTCTTCACAAAGAGGCTGGTGGGAGTGTGGAACCAGCTTCACAGCTAAGTCAATACCCTGGCTTCTATCAAGAAACAGCTGGTAAGATATTAACGTCTTCACAACAATCAACTTCTAATTACCAAACGGACTAATCTTACCAAAACACTCCTATACTTTGTATCTTTTCTTATGTTCTTAGCTTTTACCAGTATTCTGTTAAAAAGGTGCTGTTTGCTTACTATCTAACTTACTTACACATTTTTAATATTTAAACTCCAGCCTACGTTTAAAAAGTGTGTATAGAGAAAAATATTTCCATTGATGTTTACATACATCTGCATTCCTAGATGAGTTGTGTATACTCACAATTTAGAGTACTTTAAGGAAAATAGAGTAGTAGTAACTCATTGTCCTTTCACAGTATTGTGAATTGAAATCTTTACCTGTTGGATGTTTGACTATTAAACTTTAAATATATATATTTTGTATTTCTATCGTACCTGGTGAAACATCCCCAGTCTTTTCCTCCAGCTCCTGCTGGAGTCTCCTGACTCTCCTGTCCACCTGAGCTTGCAGGTACATGTCAGCAGTGTAGCAGTCAGGCCTGTTCTCCTTCACCATGCTGTCTATCTTCTGCAGGAGCTGTGACACCTGGGCTCCCCTCTCCCTGGTGCTGAACACCAGGTACCTGCCCCCACACCTCTGCACCAGCTGCTGGCAGTCTGTGTTCTTCTTGAGAAACTGATCTTTAGGTTCTTTCTTCAGTGAGGTGAACAGTACAATGATATAGTCAGTGACTCTCTTGCTGAACATGTCCAGGATCAGGTCTAGTTCTCCCTTGTCTCTGTCTGTGAGAGGCCCTGCAGGAATGACCAGGAGGAAGGCGTGGACACCAGGGTCACTCATAGAGACACAGCGGTGAGTCTCACGTGTCACTTCCTCCTCTGAAAGCCCCGTGTTAAACAAGGGTGGCAGCTCAACCACAGAAACCAGCCGCCCAGACACGTCTCCCAGTCTCCTCTCACACACTGGGGCAGCTGATCTGAGCTCCTCCTGTCCCAGGATGGTGTTTCCTGAGGACGTTTTCCCTGCTCCTCTCCTTCCGAACAGGACAATCCTCCAACTGGGATTAATTATCTCAAATGAGTCAGATACTGAAAAACAAGGCAAGTGAGATTATGTGCTGTCAGTATCGTACTTAGTCAACAAGTCAAGAGAAAGCAGCTGCTGAAGATACTTCACAGGTGATAGAGACTTGTTCTTCAACATAGACCCTTAACACAACAATACACTGCACCACCACTCAAGGATAATGATACCCCTGTAACCCAGTTAGATTCCAGAATCACTCTTGGAATCGCTGTCATCAGTGACGTTCCAGCCTCAGAAAGTGGACTCTACAGTAACACCCCAGAGAGGAGACTCTACAGTACTTGTCCAGAACAAGCTACCCAGGTCTGCTGTTGAAGCCCTTGCTACCACAATAATATCAAAAATGTAGAGTTTTCTTTGGGATAAAATTTAAATGTCTCTTTTAAATTTGGCCCAGTGCCATCTCATTAGACTGTTATTAGACATTAGTCTGTAACATCTGTCTGTCATACACTTGTTGTTTGTTGGAGTATCGGTCTACTTCCTTCTGAACAAGGCTCTTCATAGTGCCTCTCCTCTAGTGCTCTGCTGTAAGCATTTCAAGGGAGACTGAAATGGTGGCCAGATTCCAAGCACATGAGGATTAATATCAGCAGTAGACAAGGACCCCCGGACACAACTGGAAATAAGTTTAGTGTTAATCAACACTAGGGCAAAACAGGGGACTTAGCAATAGACAGAAATCCTAGGTGAGTCTGCTGAGGACATCTCTTTCTGTATGAATCCTAATTAATGTTACTATAGCCTCTAAGTACTGGTTTTGGTCCTGACAGGAGATCTTAAAAAAAGTTGGTAAATAGTTACATTAAGTGAAAAATGAGCTAATTTAGGTAATGAGCAGAACTGAAAACCACTGCTCTTAAGTTTTTTTTTTAGTTCTTGAAAATCCAAACTCTATAGGTGGATACCTTTGTCACTTAGCATGAGCCCACTGTGGTAAAGACATGGATTTCACACCAGCAGTCTTTCACAAGAAAGATCCAGTCAAGCCAGGATCTAGTGACTTGAAGCAGGGCATCACCCTGTCCACTCTGAACACCCCTGGCTGCTGAACTCTATTGAGCTGAATGATGTGTATGTATAATAAAAGTTTTAGCTGCTAATAAGAGACCAGTGATCACATACAGTAGCAGGCTCCATGGTCAGGGCACACCTTTGAAAGGAAACAGTTGTTTTTCAGGTTTTTTTAAAGCAGTGTTAAAGCAGGTGCCTGAGAGAGCTGGACCAGGTACCAGTCCAGATAAAACAGTGCTGATGTGATTATTACCTCTAGATCTGTAGTGATGTTATTCCTGTAAGACAGAGTAATGCAGAGTGAGAAGCTCTGCTTCTGAGTGTTATAACTGCTTTAAAAGTGATTCCAACGCAATGTCCTCTTCAGATTTCTCATTCTGTGGAGATCACATACAGTATAATTCCTGACAGATTCAAGTATCTAAACATAAATTCCCTAAAACATGAACTGGGCTGATGCAGTTTTTGAGATTTATTTTATGTTGAAATGATTGATCATAAATCAGAATTATACTACAAGTGAATTTTTGTGCTTTATTTGTATTAGCATTAAATAATTGGATTGGATTTTGAATTCCTTATTTTAGAAAGTTATTTTGAAAGGTTTCACAGTGGTTGGGTCTTTATTTGAGATGTTTAGGTTGAGCTACCCCTAACTTGACCTCTCAGAGTGCCTGCAGTCTTCTGTCCTTATCTTCAAAGCCCTTTCAGGAGTTACTAACAAGGCCTGATGGTTTTATATTTCAAAGCGCCCAGGGTGCTGGGTGCTGTGGTCTTGAGTGAGTGTGGATCTTGGCCTTTTTCTCTAGAGTTCTGGAACAAACAGACCTGAGTCTGTCTTCTCTGTCCTGGCTGTGGTCCTCTGGTCATCCTGGGTGGAGTTTCTTGAGGTCTTCTCAGCTCCAGGCTTTCCAGACCACACTACCAACAGAAGAGAAACATTAGAACTGCAGTCACTGAACTGAACAATAAAAGAGAATCTGGAGAAGTTGGAAAGCGTGCAGTTGTATTTGAATACTATATATTAACTATTTTTAAATCTCATAGTTACAAACCAGCATTATTGCAAAACTAGAGAGAGGTTTAACTTGGTTATTCCAAAGAAAAATACAACCACAATTTCTCACAAAACCCTTAATCAATGGACAGATAAAACATGTAAATAAAAAAGTGAATAAATAACGGTGAGCTGTAACACAGCTGCAATTTTTACATCCAATAATGAACTCAGAAGATTGAAGATTGCATATATAAATAAAGGCTCCTTTATAATGTATAACCCTTTCTGTGAACATTATATGAACAAACAAATCTCGGTAGTCAATACTTAGCAAACTTCAAAATGTCCTATATATGTAAATAAACATGACATCATTTTTCTAAAATATAATTCAAATGTATGGTTGTCAAGGGTGTTGCAAAAATAAAGATGGTCTTTTTAACAGTGCAGTGCTCCTAATGCTTTGTTGAAGAATTCTGGGTGGATGCAGGAAATGTTAAGCACATTTAATTTCCTGTACATTAAACAAAGGATAGTGAAAACTTACTCATTCCAGTGAACCACTCTCCCCATGTGTGGCTGTTCATCTTCACCTCTGCATGGGGCTGTGTTCCTGCCTTTGTCTCAGCAATGGTTTCTCTTTTCCCCTGCTCAGTGCCAGCTGCTGCTGTCAGCTCTACAGCGCCCCCTGTGGTTGCCCCCTGTATTGAATCTGTTGCTGACTGGGCTCTTCCAGCTGCTCCTGTAGGTGGTGCTTCTCTTCCTCGCTCTGCTGCTGGGACAGAGAAACTCTCTGCCCCTCCTGAAGGGTGTCTCCCAGCTGTTCCAGCTGTTGGGTCTTCATCTTCTAAATTAAGGATTTAATAGGAAGGTCAGTCCTGAACTGTTCTGTCCAACTGTTTTCTAATTACAGGACACCTTCTGGCATTTCTTTACGTTCCTCCAACCGATAACAAAAAATGTTATTTTGTTGTTATTTCAACTCAGTTTTTACAGTAAGGGGCTACTCAGCATTGCAAATCCTCTAACTACGACTGTACCCCAGTGCAGGATCTGTCCTCTACTCCTGAGAGTACAGTGACTTTTTGGTGGGGTCTGCTGTCCTGTGATGTGATCTGATCCCTATGGGACTGTGAGTTAATATCCCTGCAGTACAGATCCCTCTGGCTGTGCTGTCCTGTGATGTGAT